TCAGAGAAGGTGTGGGGTTCAGGATATAGTTGTTTCTAAGTCTAGAGTTTACACACTTTAGGTGACATGTTCAAACTGTTGGTTTTGGTTTCCTGTCACTGTCACTGTTCATTCCCTGAGGGATGCCTGGGGCAGGGCACGGGTTAGACCTGGACGAACATGTTCCCCGCCGACTCCGTGCAGAGGGGTCAAACAAAGATGTCTTCTGCATGGTGAAGGCAAAGATGAGTGACGCCTTCTTATCTCAACGTCCAGTGCTAGTCTTCCCGCAGAGCTTTCTGGGAGTCACAGAAGCCTTCTTTAACAAGGTAAACAGCTGCACCGTCCTGAGCACCGCTTCCTTGGAGGATTCACGCTGTGAGGAGTTGCAAGAGATGGCTGAGTGCATCGAGAAGGACTTCCCCCACATGAGCCGTGGAGTATCGTATTTGCGATCGCTCACGGACCCGGACAGGCGCCGAGAGCCATGTCCGAGGTTGAAATTCATTGATGCCGGACCGTCATTGTCTTGGGCGCATGGTCTAGGGGACTTGAGGCTGGGTCCTGGTTTGCCTCCTCCCAAACCATACCCACTTCAGGTTGTTTTCCATCACCGGCAAAACAGGTGATGCTTTTTTGTCCTAGATTTTGGGACAAAGGGGTGCTGGTAAATCGCCTTGTGCATTTACAGGGGTTTGCAATGTATGATCAAAGTTGTGGAACCGATGCCAAAAAGTGCGGATAGTGCTGTTCCATTCCACTTATGATACACAGTCTGTGCTTGGAGGCTTTAACAACAGTACAAGTGTTTTGTTTTGAGAAACTCATTTTGCTCCAGGGTAGGGAACCCACTTGCTAGTCCCAATGGGGGATGTGGCTGAAGATGCCGCTGGTGCGGCGGTTATCTCGAAGATTGCCACCTTCTTTGATTCAGTTCAGAGCTCATTTGCCTCCACTGTTCAACCTATGCCTGAGCATTCATGAGATGAAAGCATTTTCTAATTTCAATTATGGTTTAAGTCCGGCCGGCGCCCCCCCGTAATAAGGTCATAACGGAGAACAACTTTGGGGCGTGGGTCAACGACACTTTCACAGGCAGCTTGCAAGAGGCCTGCTAAGCAGTCAAGTAAACATTTGGCAAACATATACCTGGGATATATTTATATATATATATATATATTGTGCCTCAGTCTTACCGCAACCCAAGTCATCGCTTTGCGCAACCACTGGCGGTCAGGTTGTGCAAAAGTTGGTGATGGACTCCGACTCTGCTGACTCTCGCTTGCCCTTGGGCACCATTCCAAACTGTTCGATGAAAGAGTTCTGGCTACCTTTGACGGCTTTTGATGTGAGTGCACGCTCCAAGCATGGATGTCGGGTTGTTGAAAACGTTGTGTGTTTGGGGGGTGCTTGAAGCCCTCACTTAAAGGTAGGTCGGACCATCATTAATTTAATGAATTACGCGCGCATAAAGATGTGACCTTCAAGAGTGTATATCAGAATCACAAAGTAGACTACAACCTACGTTTGACTTGTCCGGGGTTTCTCCAGAAGCTGTGCCCTGCAAGATTTCCCGCAGAACATCCAGACCAGTGCGCACTTCGGAGAATTCTTGCGAGATGGATACCGGATCTCAGCAGAGGCAGTGGAGGTTAAGTTCCCAATGGGAGATGGTACGCGTCAAATTATCGATGGCAGTGTTGGCATCAATGATGGCTTTTGCAAGATCATCATCATGGTGGGGATCGCCAAAATCTGCCATTGTCTTGATGCATGCATGAATGTATTTACTGTATATGTTTTAAGCTATGCTCATGGTCCGGGAGTTGGAAGTGTGAACTGACATCATGAAGAGATCCGAATGCGGGGTAGCTCTTTGAATTGATGTCTTCCAAGTTTTCCTCTTTGTAAATCTAAGGAACTGACTCCAGAGGAGTTGCAGTTGCCATCGGTCCGGAAGATTTTGAGTAGCTTCCGCTGGGTGAGGTGTGCTTACACACACTTTACGCACCCTGGTCACCATCACCTGCATTCACTGCGTTTCTCGGTTTTCACACAAATGGAAGCTTTAACATGTGAATCCAATCTCAAGATTCCATGACAGTATCCGTGCCCAACCCAACCTCTCACCAACCAAGGAATCCAATGCGTGACGGCCCAGAAGCAATCCCCTTCAGCGCTAGACTTCGTTGGGGCTATCAAGGAAGCGGTTGCATTAGAGCGTAGGGTCGCACCGGCATCCGTCTCCAAAGCGCTGAAAGATGTTGTTGCCCGATGCACTGCGGAATACAACCGCATGGTGAGCAAGAAGGCCCACCGGATAGACACCCCGATGAGGAACCTAATCATGAATCTGTCCTTCGACCTATTATATATTTTTGGTTTTACATTGCATTGCGATGTTAAAGCCCCATTCTGCCCCATTAAACCTTGCCACATTTGTTCGACCAGTCTACATAGACTTAGAGCAGAT